CATTAAAGGAGAATACGAACGAAAACAAAACTTTTGATATGTTCGTTGTAAAGGATAACCTAAAATTCACCTTCCGTGATTAGAATTGAGCAAAAGGTTTCTTTTTACATACTCGTATTTCCGCCTATTACGGAAACGCCCGACAGTTAATGAGCCGAGGGGTATCACGTGATATGACGTTATATGTGCCTGTTGCTGATGGCTTCCTCTTTGATTTTACCTCAAAACTTAACAGTGACCATGGATTCTGAAGCAGTAAAAGATGTTCCTGATGTCATTTCTGAAATGGATGTTATATCAATAAGATCCGATTTTACATCTTGCCAGACAATCTTCGAGTTGTTATAGGGACTAATTAAGACAGCCATCGTCCAAATATTTAAAACGTTAAAAACTATGTACACAAGGCATGTGAGACGTTATTTTAATTATTTATATGATGCTAATCTGTATTCTATGCAATCCTTATCACTTCCGCATTGTACATTGACTTGTCAGGCAATTAATTACTGTTATATGACATATATAACCTTTATTGGTCATCCCCCTTGGCCGTGTCTGCCATCACATCAACTGGTCAAGGAAGTGCTATTGTTTTTCTGTCTGTCCATTAGTGAGTCGTCGCTTGTCCATTGTGGTCAAAAACTGTATATATACTTAGTAGGCTCATATCTAGATTCATCTGCAGCCTGGCTGCCAAAGGAGAAGGAGCTCAGAGGGAAGCAGCCAAGCAAGACAGAAGAGAAGAAGACAAGGAAGGCAAAGTTCACTGTGGGTTGTACTCACGGGGGACTGTTCCCAGCCCACTCATGGCGAACTCTGGGAACACCTTCTCAGTGACCGCCGAGGTTCACGGAAAACATGAATGCGAAGTAGGGGGAGTAGCCGTGTCTACTCCCAACGGGAAAGGTAGGGGAGTGGCCGTGTCCACTCCCCATGGTGAGAGGAGAAGAGTGGCAGCATCCACTCGCCGGAGGGATAGTAGGGGAGAGGGAGAGTAGGGGAGTGGCCGTGACCACCCCCCAAGGAGAGAGAAAGGGAGGTAAGGGGGGAGTGGCCGTGACCACCCCCCAGGGAGAGAGTAGGGGAGTGGCCGTGACCACCCCCCAAGGAGAGAGAAAGGGAGGTAAGGGGGGAGTGGCCGTGACCACCCCCCAGGGAGAAAGTAGGGGAGTGGGGGTGACCACCCCCCAAGGAGAGAGAAAGGGAGTGAAGGGGGGAGTGGCCGTGTCCACCCACCAGGGAGAGAGTAGGGGAGTGGCCGTGACCACCCCCCAAGGAGCGAGAAAGGGAGAGAAGGGGGGAGCGGCCGTGACCACCCCACCGAGAGAGAGAAGGGGAAAGGCCGTGTCCGATCCCCAAGTAGGAAGCAGGGGTGTAGCCGTGTCCACACCCCAGTCAGATAGAGAAAAGGTAGCCGTGTCTACCTCCACACCAACCGCCGGTAGGGTTGGAATAGATATGGGACTGCCCACCCCAATATCAATAAACATTGAAATGGACTCTGAGTCCGAAGAGGGAATGCCTAGCCCTCAAAATATCACAAGGGGAATGCCCAGCCCCAGCAGAGACAGCCCAATATTGAAAAAGCCTCGGAACAATCCCGGTCAGACTAGCTATTTTTTTAGAACACTGCCGCCAAACCCCAAAAAGCGAAAAGTTGAGGAAATAGCAGATAGTCCCAACAACTCATATGCAGAAGCTGCAAATAGTCTGCCACAGGGGAATTATAGCTACCTAGAAATGAGCCAGTCAGACCGGGAAATAGTCCAAGGGCTGTGGAACAGGACCACTAAGACTTCCACTGACCGAACTAGACAAGCCAAAGCTTCGGCTAAGGCTGCCCCCCCAAACAAAGCAGCAGGGGTGGGAGAGGCTAGTCTACTGTACAGACTACAACCTCACCCTCTCCAGCAGGGTCTCGGCCCAAGCTTTACGGGAGGAACTAGTGAAGTCAGTCTCTGTCACTAGAATACATAAAGCCAACCGGGGATATGTTGTCAGGGGTGACAACACAAATGATTGTGCCAAACTCCCAAAAAAAGTCCTTGATCAGGCTATAGTTTGGAAAGTGCCAGGCTGGGTATCACACATAAGATGCGCGGTGCATCTTGACAAGGGTATCAGTGACGAAAGGCTCACTACCCAGCAGCAACACGATCCTACTATAACTGATATGTATAGGATTAAAAGCCAAGGCAAAAATACAAGAGTAGTAATACTCACAATATTGGGAACTACAGTCCCAGAGACGATCAAAGTGGCAGGCGAGGTACTAGCTACACTTCCCTACCTCAGGCGACCAAAACAGTGCGTCAACTGTTAAATTACGGGCATGTTAAGGCAAATTGCCTCAGCGAGGCAAAATGCCGTACATGCTCTAGGCCTGCCAAAAGCTGCAAGGGCAACTGCTCTCTTTATTGCACCAGCTGCAAAGTTAAGGGACACTCATCCCTATCCAACTTCTGCAGGAGCAGGCAGCACAAAAAACAGAGTCTAAACACGGAGACTCTTGGCCTCAAACAGATGACGCAAACTGAACAGGGCAATGAACAGGCGGCGACCAAGGGCAAGGTCAATGCTACACGGGCAAACAAAGACGCTGAGGCAACCAGCGCAGGCAACCCCCATGGGCAAGGGTGCCAATACCAAGCGACGCAAAGGGAAGAGAGGCAAAAGGGGCAAAAAAGGTCCAAATAAGGTGGCAAACAACACGGGCAACGTTGAATCCACCAGCACAACGGGTACAGACAAAAGGCATGCTGTAGTAAGCCATGATAGCAAAACAAATGCCCACAACCAGGCTACACCAGACAAGCTGGTTGAATTTATGTGTGCCGCCCTAATCAACTAGGCACACATAAGGATAGTGATGAAGGGGCAAAACTCACCATACTCTGGGAGTTAGCAACCAACATCCTGTCCTATGGGCAATCTGCATCCTATCTCAAACAGCAGATACATAAGCTTAAGTAAACACTTAAGCTACAAATAATAAGACACAACTGTCATCATGGCCTTACAAATATTGCAATGGAATGCCAATGGTCTGAGGTCGCACGGCCAAGAACTCATAGCCCTAGTCAGACAACAGGTACTGAATCCCCACGTTATACTAATTCAGGAAGCAAAATTTGGGAAGAGAGCAAACTTTCGGTTACCTGGCTACACACAATACCGCAAAGACAGAGCGGGGCGAATGGGGGGTGGACTGGTCACTTTTGTCGTCGACAACTGTACATCCACCGAGGTCAAAGCAGAGGTGGGAAGCCTTGAAACCCAGGTCATCACGGTCAGCATGGCAAATAGCAAAGAGATACGCATTGCAAACGTCTATCACAGGACTGCCGATCCCACCAACATCGAGGAGCTTAACAAACTCAGCGACTTGGTCGGGCATTCAGGCCTAATCCTTGGCGACTTCAACGCCCACAGCCCGCTGTGGGGTGAGGAAACCAACCACTCTGACTGCCCCGGCAGGATGGTGGAGGATTGGGTAGAGTCACAGGGACTCGTTATACTGAATGATGGCTCTCCTACAAGACATTGTCCAAACAGAGGTATATGGACCAGCATAGATCTAGCTATTGCCACCAAAAAACCTAGCCCATGATTGCCTGTGGCAGGTTCATGATGACAGTTGGGGAAGTGATCACTCTCCGTGCTTCACTTTTCTCGGTATCCCACCTCTTTGCGATGAAATCACAAACCCTAAAGAGCGGTGGAACTTCACCAAAGCAGACTGGTCAAAATTCAGAACGGAATGCAATAAAATCGAGCCGTCTGAAATCGTCTCTGACGACGTCGATACCTTTTGCCTAAACCTAACGTCGGCCATACATAAGGCAGCACTGGCCTCAATCCCACTCACCAAAGCAAAGGTCGGCGCCCGAGCCGTCCCATGGTGGAACGAGGGAATAGCCAAAGCACGACGCATTAGGAAAAAAGCATTAAATAGGTTAAAACGAGACAAGTCTGCCATAGGTGAAGTTCGTGTAGCTAGGAAACAAGTGAAAGATCTCATCGATCAGTCCAGGTCTGACTCATGGCAAGAGTTCTGTGGATCCCTCAACCACAAAACAAACAGTAAAGCAGTCTGGCAAAAGATACATGCTATCCGGGGGAAACGCAGGTCCGCTCGCATTCCCAAACTAACAGGGGCTACCAAAGTCACGGATAAAGCAAGTATCTTAGCCACCCACTTTGCCTCTGTCAGTAGCAACAACAATTTTTCTGAAGAGTTCAAAAAGACAGAAAAATTGCCACCACGCCCAAACAGCCCCGTCGCGAACAGCACGATACAACCATGGTTTCAGTGTGGAGGAGTTCAGAACTGCTATAATGCAACAAAAGGGGTACTTGTCCAGGGGAGGACATGGTCAGCTATGAGATGCTCAAAAGGTTGCCAGACAGCATCGCCAGCGTCGTCGTACAACTGTACAATTTGATTTGGGATCAGGGGGAGGTACCTGCAGCATGGAAACATGCAGCAGTAATACCTCTGCTCAAACCAGGGAAGGAGGAGGCATCGGCCAACTCATATTGCCCAATATCCCTTACTTCAAATCTGTGCAAGAGTATGGAGGCAATGGTGAACATATACGCTTAAAGCACCACCTTGAGACAAACGCACTCTTATCCCATTGACCAGAGCGGTTACAGAAAAAACCGCTCATGTCTTGACCACATTTTCCGCCTGGAAAATGATATCAGATTAGCCCAGGTCAAGAAACAGTACCTAGCTGCTGTCTTTTTAGACTTCAGCAAAGCCTTCGACATGGTATGGCACGATGGACTCCTCCAAAAACTAGAGAATGTTGGTGTACAAGGGAAATTGGCAAACTATGTTCAAAGTTTTCTGCAGGAAAGGTCAATATCAGTCTTAGTTGGAAACCACCTGTCCGATCCACACAGGTTAGATAATGGCACGCCGCAAGGAAGCATTATCAGTCCCACACTCTTCAACATCATGATTGACGACCTATTTGAACATGTCCAAAATGACAATAACATCAACACCTCAAAGTTCGCTGACTGGCGATGGGGCTGTTTGGGTTAGACATCGAGAGGTTCTCAAGATCCAGGCTCTGATCCAGAAAACCCTCGATGGTGTGGAAAAATGGTGCGACAAATGGGGTTTTACTATCTCACCTGAGAAAACAATCGGAGTGGTATTCAAGCGGAAGGGTAGCAGAATATGCAACACACCCAGTCTCAAACTCAAGGGCAAAACGATCAAATTTGAGAAATCAGCTAAGTTCCTCGGGGTTACTTTTGACCAACACCTCACATGGGCAAAACACATAGACAGCATAGTCATTAGGTGTGAGAAAGACCTCAATGCAATAAGAGCTACATCCGGTAGCTCTTGGGGAGCAAACAGCGATACTCTCCTGACCCTATATAAGACCCTCATCAGAAGCAAAATAGACTATGGGTGTGAAGCATACCACAGCGCCTCTAAAACGGTTCTAAACCGGCTTGAAACGATTCAATATCGTGCTCTTAAACTGGTTACGGGCGCGGCGGCCCATACCTCCCACCAGGCCCTACTAGTGGAAACTGGGGAGCTACCACTCGAACTCAGGCGTGAGAAGATGACATTGAACTATTGGAGTCGCTGCTCCAATCCACTTGTCACTAGACTATGGAAAGAGGAACTCTACCCCGCATGCATGAAAGCATGGCTCCAAAAGAGACCTGATACAACTCCAGGCGGGGTCAGAGTCTTACAGCTTAGGCGAGAACACGGATGCTACGGGGTAGAGCCTCCAACATGTCAAACGACAGTGCAATGTCCCCCATGGGAATTAAAATCACCCAATGTCGATACCACTCTCACAAAAGAAGTGCCTAAAAGTGAGAACCCAATGTTGCTACGAAGCATTGCGCTTAGTAGGATTGACTCACTTTACGAAGACTCGGCTCACATATATACTGACGGATCCAAGGATCCTGTGAGAAATAGAACCGCCTATGGTATCCAGATATACACAGCCTCTAACAACCAAACCATCTCGGTCCGCCTCCCTGACGGACAGTCAGTCTACACAGCGGAGCTAGAAGCCATACACCATGCACTAAGGTACAGTGAAAACCTTAGAGAGAAAAGAGTGGTCATCCTCTCTGACTCTCTCAGTGCACTACAGTCACTGGCAACTAAGCATTCGAGCAGTAGACCTGACACCATCCGAGACATTTTGGTTCTCATTCAGAAACTAAGAAGGGAGAATGAGAAAAAGATAACACTGTGCTGGATACCATCTCACATAGACATTCCCGGCAATGAGAGAGCCGACAAACTAAACTGACGGGCAAAAGTTAGTATAACGTTTTCAATTTGGTTTGGGGAAATTGAGCATGTCTAAATTCCAATGAAACATCCAAAGCAAACATTGTCAAAGTCACGAGAATATTGCAGAATGGTAGTGATGTCAGTAGATGTAGTCACGTGACCCCTAGCACGAGAAAAAGGTATAACATGTAATCGTTGAAAATCACGAACATGCACGTGCACCAGTCGGGTAGAAATGGGATGGATACACGCTGGCATATCACAGTAACTGAAAGCACATGCAAAAATGCCAAAGCTGACACAAATTCAGCGAGAGCGAGCCATTGGAATGCGCGATATGGGAGCTACCCAAGCTCATCTTGCCAGAACGTTCGGCTGTACCCCAGCAACAATCTCCAGGCTGTTCACACGTTACGAATACTGGTAGCACTCAAGACAGGCCGAGAAGTGGACGGCCACGGGTCACTACACCCATAGAAGACCGCTACATCCGGACTATCCATCTCCGAACAGGTTCGTGACGGCAACGTCGACGGCGGCTGCGGCACTCGGGCATCGTATCAGTCGTCGCACAGTGACCCGAAGATTGAGATTAGCTGGTATAAGGGCTTACCGGCCTTTCCGCGGAATGGTCCTGACCCTCAGACATCGCCAAAACAGACAGCGGTGGGCAAGGCAAGTATACAGGTGGCAAGTCCGAGATTGGCGACGTGTTCTCTTTTCCGATGAAAGCCGTTTCACCCTTTACAAGTGTGATGGCAAAGAACGGGTATATCGTCGACGAGGGGAACGTTTAGCAAGGCCATGCATCAGAGAAGTTCATCCATTCGGCGGGGGTGGAGTCATGGTTTGCAGCGGTATCTGTGGAGACCAGAAGACCCGTCTGGTTGTAGTGCAGGGCAATCTCAATGCATGGGGTACATCGGACCAGATCCTACAGCCAGTTGTGGTACCCTTCCTACAGAATCAACCCCGGGTGTACTCCTACAACATGACAACGCGAGACCTCACACTGCCAGAGAGACTCGCTACTTTCTGCAACAGAACAATGTTGACGTCCTGCCCTGGCCAGCGTGCTCACCGGATATGAACCCGATCGAGCACCTCTGGGATCATCTGGACAGGAAGATCAGAGGTCGGCAACAAGTTCCACAGAACAGGCAACAGCTAGAGCAAGCACTCAGAGAGGAATGGAACCGCATTCCCAATGACGTCATTCGACGTTTGACGACGTCAATGAGGAGACGTGTGAGGGCATGCATTGATGCAGCAGGGGTTCACACACGATACTGATGTGCACAAGATCCTGTATTCAAGGAATGCCCCTGCTACTGACTCATAAACTCAGATTGTGATAATCGATTTATGCAAAATTCCACCCCTTGCGTGTTTACTTGACAGCGGCTCACAAACTCCTTGAATGAAATTGTTGATTTTTTGTGATTTACAGCTCAAGTGTTTTTTTATTATGATGCATTAAATATTTTTGGGAAATTTCGGTGTATGTCTTTGTTACAGGACGTTCAAAACGTCATATACTAACTTTTGCCCGTCAGTTTAGCTAAACAGGCGCTAGAATTGGACGTGTCACTGGATCATCCTTACTCAAAAAGCGAAATTCGAAGTATGATCCAAGGTTCGATCACTAGCAAGTGGCAGAGGCAATTGGACACCTCAAGACAAAGGCAGATGGTATCATGGACTCCGCCCCAATGTGAAAGGGAAGCGAACTACTCCCTCACAAAACAGGCGAGTCGACATCATGATCACCCGCCTAAGACTAGGTACCACCAAAACCTCTTATAAGAAATGTCAAACATGCCACACCAAAGCTACAGTCCCTCACATTATGCTGGATTGCCAACGGTTTGACACAACCAGGCAAACACTCAGAGAGGAAACAGGGCTAGGTACATTGACAGCCAAGCGGCTGCTGGCTCCCACGGAGCACCTTGCAATGTACAGACCGCTAGCCAATTTCCTCTTGGAAAGTGAACTATGTCAGTATATTTAAAAAGAAATTTTATCAATCAAGCCAGTCTTCAGTTTGTCCGAGGGCGCCAAGGAGATTATACCACCCAAGCTCCTGACCTCAGAGGATCAGCCCAGCCAGGACACGCCGGTCGCACAGCCTGTCATCATGCCCGGTCTCCAGACTGGCACGCCAGTCCTCCATGCGTCCCAAAGAGGGACAACACATGCGTCCCAACGAGGGTCTTGAAACAGGGAGTGGCCGTGTCCACCCCCTAGGGAAACAGCAGGGGAGTGGCCGTGTCCGCTCCCCAGGGTGAGTAAGCTGAATGAGAGCAAGGGAGTGGCCATGTCCACCTTCCAAGGTGAGAGCAAGGAATGGCCTTGTCCGCTCCCCAGAGTGAAACAAAGGAGTGGCGCCGGGAGTGGCCGTGTCTGCTCCCCAGAGTGATAGTAGTGACAGCAGGGGAGCAGCCGTGTCTGCTCCCCAGAGCGTGAGTAAGGGAGCGGCCGTGCCTGCCCCAAGAGTGACAGCAGGGGAGCGGCCGTGTCTGCTCCCCAGAGTGAGAGTAAGGGAGCAGCCGTGACTGCCCCAAGAGTGAATGGAGTGAAAGCGGGGGAGCGGCCGTGTCTGCTCCCAAGAGCGATAGTAGGGACAGCAGGGGAGCGGCCGTGTCTGCTCCCCAGAGTGAGAGCAAGGGAGCGGCCGTGCCTGCCCCAAGAGTGACAGCAGGGGAGCGGCCGTGTCTGCTCCCCAGAGTGTGAGGAGGGGAGTGGCCGTGTCCACCCCCAAAAAAAAAAAAAAAAAAAAAAAAAATAGTGTATGTACACAACACCCGTGTACTTACACCCACGCGTCCCAAAGAGGGACAAACCATGCGACCCAAAGAGGGTCAACACAAGCTGGGACAGCACTGTCCAGCCATGCGTCCCGAGGTGGGACAGACCAGCCCCAAGCGTCCCAAGGAGGGACACTCCAGCCCAGGCCCAAGAGTCCCAAGGAGGGACACTCCGACCCAAGCACCCAAGAAGAGACGCTCACACCCAACGCCACCAACACAACCCGGTCCAGCCCCAAGAGTCCCAAGGAGGGACACCGCCACCACACCCACGAGTCCCAAGGAGGGACACCCCACGCATCCCAAGGAGGGATAGGTCTGCCGACATGCCAACCGGCGAAGGCGACGTCAAAAGCACCAAACACAACAACAACAAATATCTAGATTGTGAAGGAGTACGAGTCCGGTATTCCGACTCTCTGTGTAGGGACGTCCACGAGCGGGATGATGATGCTCGTAGGAAACGCCCTGGGGTTGAGCAGGAACTCCGCTCACCTCATTTCTGTCTTGTACATTTGTTTGTCATGTAACTAAAGAAGCTTGAGCTCAACGTATTCCTTCGTCTTGTCAACGTATTGTATGCACACTTTATCTTAAGTATGAGCTAATTCCCCCAGTCGATGCGTATCCACGTGGTGATACAGTGAGGATGAAGAAGAAGAATCAAGCGAAACGGAGGCTCCGCTTGACGTCAAAATAAATTTTATAATAGACCATATCGTTTAACAAGAATACTATTTGTGAGCAAAATGTGATACAGTTCCAACCAGCAAACCCACCCCTATAAATATATGACCAATCCCGAAGAATTATTTTTAAAAAATGTGATTGCAGTTGCTTTGTGTCAAATGGGTGATTGTAGGGTCAGTCGGCGGAAAACAGAAATTATTTGCTTCAAAAATTACACTGGAATTATTTTGTTGAAAAATATGATCCTAGTTCTCATTAATAGCGTATCAAGTCTCCATACAAGATCCCAACCTGGTCGAGCAGAGATAATATTCGCGACGCAGATAGGTTATTCCCCCGAAAACTGGTGAATTATAAAATACTAGTTAGGACAATGTATGTTTCCCTAGTGTTTGGTTATGAAAATAGTTATGGTACACGGTCATAGCCTTGGCTATGGTGTATATGTCTTTCTCACTTTTCATTTTCTGCTTCCCTCCTTTCATTTTCTTCAATTTGCGACACACGATTCCACATTGTGTAGCTAGCCTGTTTTCTATTCTATCATTCAGGTGAATCTTGATGTATGCAAGCTGAGAGTTGAGGATGTCAACCATTGTCAAATTGCCATACTCTTCTTTTGCTTTGTTTAAGTTTTTAAGGAAGAGATCTGTCATTTGCAAAGACACTGCGAATTTATCATCTTTCCTTAGGTATTTTGAGTTGATACATGGGCTTGGTTCACCTTTCAGAGAAACAGTGTCCTTGAACTTACTCAGTTGTAAGTTACTCAGGTTGTCTGACATTGTGTATGTTTCAAGAACTTAAAAATAGTATGAAAATGACAAAGAAACAAACAACTCAACAAGGTGAATGTTCAAAACATTGTACATATATCAGAATGATTATTGTTTAACGATGGATAAGGTCCAAGGTGCAAGCTCGTGTGCGAGCCTGAAGTACAACTGTCTCCACAGGGATGCTTATCTTGGCGACTCGGCCGTCATGCACGGTGTACTTGGTCCTTTGTCTCAGGCAGGGTTTGGCCCTGACCGGAAACTCAACACATGTGCCTTCGCCGTGTTTGTCAATGTTATACCACCAGTAGGGTGGGAGACACAGATGTTCTAGCTCTTCTCTACCAAGAAGAGTTTCTCTGTCAGTCCTAAATAAGGCCCTAAACACGTTTAAATGACAGGGGACTGAAAACTTTAGGCTCCGAGTCGTCAGTCTTGACTGAAACGACTGCCAAACGTCACGGGAAAAGGTCTCTCGTTGACAATCTGAGATCTCGGGTTGGTCGTACGAGCGTCGGATGCTGGCGGGAATGTGCTGATCCGGTTCCCAGGTCGACTGCTCAATATGATACCCCTGCCACTTGACAAGATATTCTGTACCCTAAACAGAGGAGGGAAAACATGTATTTACACACGCTCCTTATACATTTACGACATGACGTTTTCAAATCAACGAGTGGGTTCACTTTGTTCAACGTAAAAACAACACTACACAGTGCTAATTGATTCCAAAGTATATT